GCGGGAACTGCTACGACGCCCAATTCGCCAGCCGTTGCGATGGATGCGGCGAGATCTTCCGTGCCGGTACGTAACACGAAACCCCCTTTCCTCCTATTTCTGCTCGCAAAAATACCGCCTCTCCTCTATCCTGTCGCGAGCTTCGTTTCAAAAAACTCTCGAGCGACTCTCGGTTAAAAATACGATCCCGAAATAACCCTCCACGGCCACCACCACCACCACCACCACCACGCACCATCGCGAGAGAAGAAGAACGAGAGAAACGTTCTCTCCTCTCGATCGAAACGAAACCACCTGTTTCCGCTCACCCATCGACGATGAATCACCGATCCCGACCGAATGCGAGGAGAACTACGATGGAACTCTCGTTAAGGGAACCGAGTCAAGGCTCGGCCTTCCTCGGGGCTTCTCGGCCCAATTATCGCGAGAAACGAACGCTCTCCTCCCCTCCTCTAATCCTCGAATCGAAATATCATCTCCAAAAGGATAAGGATGGAGAACATTCGTTTATCCGCATTGCCGCGCGAATCGGCAACCTTCGAGAACGGGAGACGGCGCGGCGGAGCGCCGCGACCTATATAACGCGCGTGATTCACCTCCGCGGCCATGCTCCAGGCCACTTTCCAACTTAATTGGAAGGGACGAGGCAAGAGAGCCTCCCCCCGAATTAACGAGCCGATTCACTTTTCGATCCGCGGCTCGGAAGCCCGACTATTCCACCTTTCTCTCTTTTTTGGCCGAGAAAAACGCGCTCGAGGGCAGCTACTTCCGGCGAGAAATTACCGGGCCGACCGAGGTAATTCGGTCAAGTACGCGCGGGTCGAGATAAACGCGGTGCAAAACGTGCAGAAACGAGATTCCAGTGAATACGAATAGTGAATTGTGCTGTATATTATCGTCGGAAGATTCTAAGAAGAGCTTACGAGGACGACTTGCGTGGGAGTCTCGTTAAATCTTGGGAGATAAAAGCTACGTGGAAATGGATGTTCGATCTACGTATTCTCGATTCACTTTTGGCGGATTATGCAACGTGTAATACGTTCATCGATCGAGACGAGGAATATGGATTTAGAAGGGAATCCTTCGATCCAAGATGGGGGAGGATGAATTAGGATTAAAAGAGATCGTAACAAGCAACGATGATAACGAGCGAGTCAAGCGGATTTTATGGTCGCTCGAGTATCCCCTTATCGAGGAACGTGTCGTTCGCCACGATTCTTTCGATGAATCACGAGCGATTAGCTCGGACGAGAATACTTTTCCATTATTATGTACCCTTTGTACAGCCGCTAAAAAGATAATCCTCGTCGTCGCGGGAATTCTAGCTTCTCCGTCTTAGTAATTACTCGCCTCCTAATCATCGCTTCGTAATCGAGGAACGATACGAGGAATCCCTCTTCCTCGTAACAACAAACGACCGCCATAATGGATGTATCGATTATCCCCCCTCGATGCGTACCAAAAATATCAATCAAAAGTATCATCGATAAATAAAGTTCGAACCGATTCAAATAAATAAAATCGAACCAAAAATTCAATCTAGATAAATTCTATAATAAAATAATAATAAAAATTCAATCTAGATAAATTCTATAATTATAATTTTCACGTGGCAGAGGATTTCGAATTAAATTCGTCTATCGATCAATGCGTATCGATCGCGTGTGACGATTCGAGATCTCGAAATCTCGAGGAGGAGCTGGTTTTCGTGGCGCGTAAATATATAAATATTCGCGGATGCGTTCCAGGATGGCGGAGAGAGAGTGGTGGAGCGGAAAGGCGAACTTATCAGAGGAGTAGAATACACGTTGCGCGTGCTCGCGGTGTGCACGGCGAGTCCAGCGGGCTTCGGCTGCTTCAGTGGCTCGCAAGACTCCGGG